TATAGTGGTCTAGCATTCGACCCTATGTACAGCTTTAGCAATCTGAACATCTTCAGGACTCCATATTCAAAAACTAACATTGAGATGAAAGGTAATGTCATATAAAGGCGGTGGCTGGCCAACAGATCTTGATGAAGAAACCGCACTTCTGTGGGCCTGTTTCCTCACATGCAAAAAGAATGGCATAGTCTCCAAAGTCCCTTCCAGCTCTATTATTCTATGACTAGAGGCCTGGTGCACGAGATTCGTGCATTGTAGAGGGGGGTCCTTCAGCCCAGCCTGTGCCCTTCCACAGTCCAGGACCCCTCCCTCCTTACCACCCGCCTACAGTGGAAGCAGGAGAGGCTCCTGCCACCACCGCTTGGCCTCTTGGCTCACTAACCATGAGCCCAGCTTGTGGCTAAGCGGTGCTCTCCTGTGGGAGCACACTGACCACCAGGGGGCAGCTCCTGGGTTGAGTATTTGCTATGGAGGTCACTATGACCAGTCATTCCACTGTTAGGTTGATTTGCATATTAGGGTTTTATTATATAGGATTCTGTGAGTCAAGACTGGTACATTTTAATTGCATCCAGGATGTATTCATTCTGCAACATTTATTGACCATCGACACTGTGGGGGCCACAGACACAGAAAATAGTCCCTCACATTGAAAGAGCTCAAAGTGCAATGACCATAGAAATCAGAAATGTCATAGGATTATGTGTTAAATGAGTGGCATGTACAATTAGTCCCATGAATGCAGAAATTACTAGAAAAATTTCATAAAGGAAGACTCAAGGGACTTGAAAGAGAAGTAGAGTTGGGAGAGCCTAGAAGTGGGGCAATTACTAGGCAGTGCTACAAAGCATTTTTCAGTTCATCCAATTCAGTGTCTCCTCTGTATCTCATAAGCACACATGTGTGTCAGTCCAATGACATTTTATAGTGCCTTGATATGATTTATATAGCAAAGTGAGGCATATGCACTAATCATAGCAGCAAACTGCTTCTACTTCAGGGGTCAGGAGTCATCCAATTTTTCTTGCCACAAGAGAAGTCCCAGGGACCTTGACCCCACTAGCAATCTGGTCACAAAGTTAAAAGAGGCAGCTAAGGACTAGCAGGTGTTGCTCAGTGGTTGAACATCAACCTATAAACCAGAAGGTCACGGTTCAATTCCTGGTGAGGGCACATGCCAGGGTTTCAGGCTTGATCCCTAGTGTGGGGCATGCAGGAAGCAGCGATCAATGACTCATCATTGATATTTCTCTCTCTCTGTCCCTCTCTTTCCTCTCTGAAATCAATTAAAATATTTTTTAAAGAGGCAGTTAGGAAGCCAATTCCAAAAAACAGTGTACTCAGTCCTCTCTCCAAGGTTTATCATGAAATGGAGATTAACTAAATACCACAATCACCTTTTCAGTAGCTGGAAAGCTCACAAGTTGACAGTGTCATTCTTCTATAGCGTCCTGACATTCCCGGCCAAGCTAATGGCTATGTGTTCATCACACAACCGGGACAGAGTTTGAGCAGAAAGGACTGAGAAGGGTACATGTGCACAAAGCTGAAACTGGAAGATTCACTCACATTACCTAAACAGCTCACCCTGAGAATAAATTAGGAAATCCTTTTTTTAAACACTGTACGATTTTCATTCTGCTTTAAATTCAAATATATTTACCATGGATACAATTATACTTGAATACATAAACATATTTAAATACACTACCTATCTGTAATCTTCTAGCCTCTCCTTTTCTATATTTGACTCTTGCAGACAGTCACAAAAGTTCTACAGAATTTCACACTCAGAGTTGTAAGAGGCTTAGAGACAATTAGCTCAATTTCCCATTCCGGGCAAAAATCCACTCTGTGACAGCAGCCCTGAGAGATGGCCACCCAGCTTGTTTAGAAACACATCTAACAATACAGAGCTAACCAGCTACTGAATGAACAATCTCTTTTCATTCTATGTATTCAACCTACTGTCTTCCCACTAAAAAGTATAGGTCCCTCTTTTGAGAAGTCTAAACATGTAAAGGCAAAATCCAAGAATAAAACTATTTCCCCTGGCACTACTAGCACTGCACGGTTTTCATCAAGGGACACACATATTCCTGACCACATTTCTCAAGCCATCTGGCTGACCCAGGGCTGTGCCACAGGTAGCTATAAATCAACTCGCACTTGTCCCTAAGCACCTGCTGCAAGCAAGACCCTGTTACTAACATGCATATCCAGATGTGCCTCAGGATCTGGACTCTCTTCCCCAAGGCAAAAATGCAGCAGCCAGAGGAAGTGATGTCTATGCTCCTAGACAAACTGATGAAAATAACCAGCCCTTTGTCATCCTCGCCTAGCTTGATCAGCTGACTTTCTGAGGTCTCTCTAAGTTCTAATACTATCTAAGGAGCCCCTATTTTACCCCTCAGACCCTATCCCCCACTGTGTGCTTGGTAGTAAATTACAGACACCAAAGAAAAAAAGCTTGACCAGAAAGTGATTCCATTATTCAGAGGCATGCTGGTTTCCTTTGTATAGCCTGGCACTGGCAAGGCACAAGGCAGTCAGCATGTAGAGTATCTGTGTGTCTGTATGTCTATATAACACACACACACACACACACACACATTCACAAACAGATTCCACCATTCTCAGTGAAAAGGATTCATTATCAAGGTCCTCTCCCCTTTGGTCAGAGTTATACTTCCCCATTCCATTCCTCAGCTAATATATTTACTTCCTTCTCCTCCCCTCTTCTCCCTTGCCCAGCCCTACCCACCAAAATATTTACTCTATTGCACAGACAGCTGGAACTCTGAGCAGTTTACAAACAACCTCACCCTTCATATCTGAGGACAAAGTGTGAGAAATAACTTGGGGGGGAAAGTTGTCTTGGCAGAAAACTCAAGTTGCCTCTGTCAAACTGTAACTTGGCTAATTATAAGCTTATCCCCTGGGCAGTTTTCTTCAGAAGGCTTTGGGTCTAAGTGGTACAGACCCAAATCAGACCCTGTCTGGCTCCCAGATACAAAAAGGACCAAACACCAATAGCTCCAAATTTCCAATTTCCCCGGCCAGTCAAACCAGAGATTTCCTGGGCCCAGAATTATCAGCTCACTCAGGGTCAGAAAACAAATCTCATTTGTTTTGAACGATTTCAATCACAACAAATTAACCCAGAGGCAAAGGGGTTGGGGATAGGGGCAGAAAGAGCTAATGATTTCACAGGGGATGACGCACAAGACAGGGAGGATGATAGAGAGCAGAGTTCAGCTCTGCACATCCGGAAAGAAGCAAGGCAAGAATAAAGCAAAGAAAACTTGGAGACCCCTGGCAGGTTTGGCTCAGTAGAGTGTAGACCCGTGGACTGAAGGGTCTTGGGCTCGATTCAAGGGCACATACCTCAGTTGCAGTCTCTATCCCTGGCCCAGTCTGGGGCCATGTGGGAGGCAACCAAATAGATGTGTCTCTCTCACATTAATGTTGCTCTCTCTGTCTCTACCCCTCCTTTCCACTCTCTAAAAATCAATGGAATAAAATATCCTCCAGTAAGGATTAACAAAGGAAGGAAGGAAGGAAGGAAGGAAGGAAGGAAGGAAGGAAGGAAGGAAGGAAGGAAGGAAGGAAGGAAGGAAGGGAGGGAGGGAGGAAGAGAGGGTGGGGCGGGGGAGAGGGGAGGAGAGATTATTTCAACGTCTGACTGCACATACTCACTTGTACCTCACACAAGTACAGAAGTACAAACACACACACACACACACACACACACACACACACACCCAGCCATGAGACTCAGAATGGAAAGCAGCTAAGAAGCCATGACCAAACTGCCCGACTCTGCCAAATACTTCACAAAGTCCACAGCAACAGCAGCAAAAGTGCCTTTCACAAAGCTCTTCTGACCTTACTTTCCTAGCCCTGTTATAAACTGGTCCCCCCTCCCCCGCTGTTATTCAAGCCAGCTGCAACCATCAAGAAGTCCAGCAAAGCAGCTCAAAAAATCACTCTTGATGCACTGGGAAAGCCTGAAGCTCTCACAGAAGACAAAAATGAGCCCTGAGAGACCAGAACTCATTTTAATTACCCACAAAGGCTGGCCAAGGAGCCCCCTCCTCCCTCCATGGCTATACTGCAGTTCCAGGTCACTCATGTACATGAACTACAGCAGGCTCGAGTTAGGTGTGGCTCACAGCCTACACACACCTCGTGGCTCCTTAAGGCCCTCCTCATAATAACCCCAAACCAATTAGCATTGCTCCCATCCCCAGAGTACATAGCATTCTCAGAACAATCAGCAGTGATGTCACAGTATCCTAGAATCCAACAGGCCACCTCCCCAGCAGGTGTCCTACAGTGGCTCTAGTACTGGCTATTACGTCACAGGGAAAAAAAAATAACTCCAAGGCTGGTATCAAGCACACACAAAATAGAGGGTTATATTGAGTGATTTCAAGGGAATAAAAGAACAACTCACAGTTAATAAGCACATATGTGCCACACACACCGCTAGTTTGTAGCATAGATGAGGCTGGCACCAATCCGCAGGTTCCCAATTCAGTAGGCTTTTAAATTTAATAGCTAGCTGAGAGCTAATCCCTAAAGTACATAGGACCCCGAATAACAGAATAGGTGAATATAGTGGGGTGGAGTTACAACCACTAGGGGTACTCATGGGCTTGGGAGGGGTGGGAAAGAGGCAGCCTGCCTCTAAGAACCTAAGGAGACCACTGAAAAGGGGAAGTGAGTAATAAAAACACATTATTTTATTTCCTAAGAGTATCAGGAGTAGCCCCAAATCAGTGTTATAATATTGGTATCAAAGGTCTTGGTCTTTTTATGCAACACATTCTCTGCTATAAGATAAAGCAATCAATTCAGATGACATGATCCATAGACACTGCTCAAGAGGACAGTGACAACCATCCAAGGAGCACCCACAAACTTCCCAGAAAGAAGGTTCTTGCCCCAGATTCAAAGTAATCATTGTCAGGTGACTCTACTCAATGGAAACTCACTCGAAGGCAAAGAAGAGTGTACATGTCCCCAGGATGAGGAACAGGGTCAAGTAAAAGATGCCCTTTTGCCGAGCCATCATGACACGGCCATCGCAGCAGAAGGTGTTCCTGCCTGGGAGTTTCTCCCACTTCCGTGTCACCTTCTTTCTCACCACCATCACCGACATGGTTGGAATTCCTGGTCCAGATGCTCTTTATGATTACAGGATGGAAAATACAGAGGCTGAGCACAGCTTTAAAATCACGTTGCCTGATATTGCTGCTGCTGGGTCAAACATCATCAAATGTCCAACTTCTAACCCTAAGAGAAAAGATTAAAAAAAAAAAAAAATGAGACAGGGACAAGAAAATGCAGTTCAATCCTCCTTTCCCAGAAGCAGAAGATAAACCTGAAAGGGTGGGTGTGGGGAAGCTGGAAAAGTTTATTTCCAATCTATGGTTGTCCTCTAAATGGAGAAAAGTTTACAGGTTCTCCAGAAAAAGAAGAAGGAGGAAGAGGAGGAGGAGGAGGAGGAGGAGGAGGAGGAGGAGGAGGAGGAGGAGGAGGAGGAGAAGGCTAGTATACCTTCTTAAAGAAACCTCCATAGTTCCAATATAATACTGGTGGTTTGTTCATCATCTTTGGAGCTAGAAGGGTTTTTATAGGTGATAGCCCCAATTAATTGGTCGAAAATGAGTAAAGTGAAAACCAGAGAGAGAAAATAATTTATCCAGGGTTACACAACTGCAAAGCTTAGTCAGAATACTTGTCTGCAGACTTTTAATCCAGGAAACTTTCCACTCCACCACACTGTTCTATAATCATCATTAAAAGGGCTAAAAATAATAGTTTATGTCCTTAAGGAGCCATTCCCTCCCCTCCTCCACTTCACCTTCTTTCTTCAATTAGCCACTCAAATATGAATCACACCAGGGAACAAGTCATCCTCTGGCAGAGCTAGGAGGTTCTGGACACTCTGGACACACATCCAGGTACTTACTCAAAACAGATTTCCCCTAATCAAACCCTTGGTAACTTCCTGAGTTCAGGAAATGAACCAATTTGGGGGGGGGGGGGGGGGGGTCAAGCCTAACATTTGTGGGAATTTTCATAAAACCACATCACAGATCTATAGGTGGGAGGCTGACTAAAACAGGAGAGGTCTTGAAAGGGTTGGAGGGGGAGGAACAAGACAGCAATTAAACGGTGTTTTCTGGGATATTTCCTAAGTACCATCTCTCCTTAGCATCCTGAATCCCCAAGCCCAACCTTTCTCAGCCACTGCCACCCTTCTCATCCTCTCAGGTGTGGTGCTGTGGCCTCTACTTACTGGCACCACATGCCCCACGCTGGCACGACTGAGGCGGAAGCCTGCAGCCTGACTGACGGATGAGAAACAACCAACTTGGAATCATCCCCCAGCCGGAGAGGGCAAGGGTCCAAACGGAGACTAGGCGATGTGCCTGGCAATGAGAAGGTGGAGGGCTTGGCCAAGGGGAGGGGGCAAAAGGTGCAGAAACACTTCCTTTGTGTAAAACTAACCTGGAAAACAATCTTCTCCCTATAACCCGGCCCAGCAGGAGAAGAGACCAGGAAGGGGAGCCGAGCCAGGGAGAGAACAAAGATCAAAATCCGTCCAGAACCAGATGGACCGCCCACCCGCCCGGGGCCAAGGCCCGAGTCCGGGGCAGGCAGCGGGCGCGGTCTCGGGAGGCCCGCCCCGCCTCCGCCACGCAGCGGACCACCGCCCCAGGCAGCCCGGGACGCGCCACCTCCACACGCTCGTACACACTCACACACGCTCCGCCACGTGTAGTCACCGCGGCCGGGGGCTCCCCCGCTGGCACCCCGAGCCGGGCAGTGCCAGGGTCCGAGCGTCCCGATGCAGCGGAGGGTTGGCAGCCCACCATGCGGCCAAGCCCAGGAGACCCCCACCCCCCAGCCCTTGTTACCTGAACCTGGGAGCCCAAATTCGGCCGGAGGCTGAGGGCAGGAAGCGGACTGTCCCAAGGGACCGCGTCAGCCACCCCAGATGGCAGCGACCTCTCCTCCCGAGCCCGGAGGCTGCCTTCTCCAGACAAGGAGCCCCTATGCTCGGGGCCCTAAAACAGCTGTGGCAGCCGCCTACTGCTGGCCGAATGGAAGGCTCCCCACGTCACTAGGTCGCTCCAGTAGTTTCTCGCCCGCCATTGGCTGATAGACCTCGGTGTCTCCGCCCCTGCCACCGCTGCCCCGAAGTACGATTGGCTACTCCGGACGCCACTCAACAGTGCCTCCGCCCTACTTCCCCACCCATCTCCCGGCTCCGTGCCCACCAGCCAAGCGCTGCAAGCTTCCTTTTGGGGTCCAATCGCCTGTACACGAAGTGTCGCCTTTGCTTAATATAGTTACACAGAGACGGAGGTGAAGGGTAGTTGGGATAGGACAAGGGAGGACTGGGAGCCAGCATCCCCCCACACACACACACAAACACCGTAAGACGCTGAAGCAGCACTGGCTCTCAGATCCGGGTGCTCAACTCATACTGGGCCTCTACTGTCCTACTTGCACGAAAGCAACCGCGACTGGCGTCTTACTCTTGCGGAACAAAGCAAACAAATATAAAAAAGGAACTTGAAAGCGATAACTGTTCTCAAGAACATAGAATAATTGTTGCAGTACCTACAACAAGTAATTGACAGTGAGGAAGTTAGAGAAAATCTACTGACAGCATAGATTCTCTCAGGTAGATAAGGAAGCAAAAAGATTGCCAAAATGGTTGGAAATTACTACTCGCTTTGGAGAGTTTATGATAATTGGGGAGGGGGAAGCCAGGATTCAAGGCAGAATCCCCACCCATCAAACACATTCATTCTTTGCTTTTGCCCCTTCCTCTGCAGTTACTGCCACAATGAGTCACACTGCTACTGATCCCAGTGAATCACATCCTTTAGAAATTCAAGATTGGAGTGGGGGAAACAGTCCAGAATCATGGCATGGATATTATACGAGGGACTTTAAGAAGCACTGCTCTGTTTCCACTCGTATGGCTCTGGGCTTCCAAATATAAGGAGAAATATGAGAAAGGGCTGAAGGTTGCCTTTCCTTACCTGAGCTTGAATAAAGTTTCTCTGGGGTGAGGGTGTTTGTAGTTAATACAGAAGAGATTGCCAAAGGTCTTCCCAAAGCAGCTTTTTGTGTTAGTTGAAGAATCATGGTCAAGAACTATTTCTCCTTTACACTATTTGGTCCCACATGATATGATAATTACATTTACCACTTTCATGCACCCTTCCAAGAAATATTTAAAAGGATTAAAAAATCACTAGGTAATTTTTTTATGACAGATATGTGTTATAATTAATTTGTAAGAGAAAGTATGTTTTTATAAAGTTTTTATTGTTCCTTAGCACTCATGCTGGTTAGAATCATCAGTTTATTTCTTTTATATATATATACACTGGAGGCCTGGTGTATGAAATTCATGCACAGGGACCTGGGGGTGGAGGGGGGGTCCCTGAGCCCAACCTGCACCCTCTCCAATCTGGGGCCCCTTGAGGGATGTCTGACTGCCCTCTCACAATCCTGACTGCTGGTTCACAACTGCTCGCCAGCCTGCCTTCCTGATTGCCCCTAACCACTTCTGCCTGCCAGCCTGATCACCTCCTAACCACTTCCATGCCAGCCTGATTGATGTCTAACCGCTCCCTTGCCAGCCTGTTTGCCCCCAACATCCCTCCTCTGCCAGCCTGGTCACCCCTAACTGCCCTCCCCTGCAGGCTCCAACTGCCCTCCCTTGCAGACCTGGTCCCTCTCAACTGCCCTTCTTTGCAGGCCTGGTGCCTTCCAACTGCCCTCCCTTGCTGGCCATCTTGTGTCCACATAGGGGCAGGATCTTTGACCACATGGGGGCAGCCATATTATGTGTTGGAGTGATGGTCAATCAGCATATCACTCTTTTATTAGATAGGATAGAGGCCTGGTGCACGGGTAGGGACCAGTTGGTTTGCCCTGAAGGGTGTCCTGGATCAGGGTGGGGGTTCCCTTGGGGCGTGGGGTGGCCTGAGTGAGCAGCCTGAGCAAGGGGCCTGGTTTGCAGGCCAGCCACACCCCCTGGTAACCCAAGCAAAGGCCCTGGTATCTGGAATTTATTTACCTTCTATAACCACTGTGCAACACCAGGTGGGACATCAATTTATTTCTGATAAACCAAGTGATGGATGGATATCATTGTCTCCAATTCTCCCTTTGGAGGGGTCCCTTTGAATCCTGGAAGGTGCTGATATTGTACACACTTGGTATAGAAGGGAGAGGAACTCCCACAGCCCTGGATTCCTGAGCTTGTCTACTCCAGGCGCCCACGGCCAGCCCAGCTGCCATCCTTCTGACTATGGAGCAGTCAAAAATAAACCCCTACAGCACCCAGACATACTTTGTCCGTATCTCAGGTGCAGGTGAAGCCTAGGGGATCTTGGAATCGATGTGTCATGGCAACACATTCCTGAGCTCTGCCCCTCCCTGCTCTGGGTCACATTCCCTCTGGGATTAAATGGCTGCGTAGGTCAGGCCTATTTTAATACACTCTGTTATTTGTGTTCACCACTAAAAGAAAAATAAGGAAAATTTCTATAGACAAGCATTCCATAAGACTTTCTTCTATGTAATCACATCATTTTACATAATCCTGAAAGTCTGAATATACACACAACTAAATTGTGACTATAAATTGGGTGTGTTTCTTTTCTGTTTTCTTTTCGCTGTTCAATAAAACTCCAGACTTTATGCATCCAAATTAGGGTTGGCTTCTTTCAAGGGGAGGCACAATTCCAGTGAATACTAGAAACACCCATGGAATAAAGGTACAAGCTTCCACAGTGTGATTGCATACATTCTGGTGAGCTTGGTTCAAAATGCTTGATGCCTGGCTGGCGTGGGTCGACCTATGAACCAAGAGGTCACAGTTCAAGTTGCGGGCTCGGTGGTCCCTGGCAGCCAATCGATGATTCTCTCATCACTGATGTTTCTATCTATCCTCCCTTCCTCTACCAAGGCATAAGAACAAAGACAATAAAAGTCAAGAAGATAATAAAAAAGAAGATAACAAAAGGATATGGGGAGGGGAACTAAATAATGGGAAATAAAAAGGATGATGATCCAGTGTAAGTAAACTAAATCCCCATCTATTAGAGTGGAAATCACTAGATAATG